ATAGTGCTCCATCATGGTGTGTCAGTGGGAGGATAGTGCCCCATCATTTGATGATCAGGGAGAGGAATAGTGTCCCCATCATTGGTATCAGTGGAAGAAATAGTACCCCCATCCATTGGTGTCAGGGGGAGGAATAGTGCCCCATCAATGGTATCAGGGGAGAAATAGTTCCCCTATCATTGGTATCAGTGGATAGGAAATAGTACCCCATCATTGGTGTCAGGGGTGAGAATAGTGCCCCATCATTGGTATCAGTGGGTAATAGTGCCCCATCATTCGGTGTCATTGGGCAGTAATAGTGCCCCATCATTGGTGTCAGTGGGAGGAAAGTGGCCCCATCAATGGTATCAGTGAGGAGGAATAGTGCCCCATCATTGGTGAACACTGGGGAGGAATAGTGTCCCCATCATTAGTGTCAGTGGGAGGAATAGATGTCCCATCATTGGTGTCAGTGGAGGAATAGTGCCCCATCATTGGTATTTTGTCAGTGGGAGGAATAGTGCCCCATCATTGGTATCAGGAGGAGGAATAGTTCCCCCATCATTGTGTATCAGTGGAAGGAATAGTAACCCACATCATTGGTGTCAGGAGAGGAATAGTGCCCCATCATTGGTATCAGTGTGGAGGAATAGTGCCCCATCATTGGCAGTGGGAAGGAATAGTGCCCCATCATTGGTATCAGTGGGAGGAATAGAGCCCCATCATTGTGTCAGTGGGGGAGGAATAATGGCCCCATCATTAGTATCAGTGACACCAATGATGGGGCACTATTCCTCCCACTGACACCAATTACACTTGCTGACTCCTGTTCCAGTATGGTGCTGCTGCTGCAGCCAGCATATGTGGTTGCAGCAGCACCTCTGCACTGCACATTTACCCGGCTTCTCCCTCACTCGATTTTCGCGGGTCCACTCGGCTCCGCCTCCTCGCCCATGATTGGCCGCCTGTGTGCCTTTCCTGAGCTACAATTCTGGCATCCAATCACCGGTGAGGAGACGGAGCCGAGCGGCAGGAGTGAGGGAGTGGCCGGAGTGACTGAAGGAGCAGCGCTTCCTGGACTCGTCGGAGCCAGGTAAGAGACAGCAGCCCTCTGCCAACCCCTGTACTTAGTGTCCCTTCCGTCGGAGGGGATGGCGGCGGCACCGTGCCGCCCCCCTAGAAAGTGCCGCCCTGACGTATACCGGCGTATAAGACGACCCCCGACTTTTGAGAAGATTTTCAAGGGTCAAAAAGTCATCTTATACGCCGGAAAATACAGTAGTTACATAGTTAGTCTGGCTGAAAAAAGACAAAAGTTCAACCATAAAAAAAAGTTATAATCCCATAGCCACAGTTGATCCAGAGGAAGGCAAAAAAAACAGCAAAGGATGATCCAATTTGCTCCTGCAGGGGGAAAAAATCCTTCCTGATCCCCCGAGAGGCAATCGGATATTCCCTGGATCAACGTTACCTATAAATGTTATATCCAGTTATATTCTGTGTATCCAAGAAAGAATCCAGGACTTTTTTTAAAGCAATCCACTGAGCTGGCCAGAACCAACTCTTGAAGGAGTCTATTCCACATTCTCACAGCTCTTACTGTGAAGAAACCTTTCTGTGTTTTGGAGATTCAATCTCTTTTCCTCCAGACGTAAAAAGCCCCCTTGTCCTCTGTGATGACCTCAGGGGGAATAGCTCTACACTGAGTTCACTATATGAACCACTGATGTATTTATACATGGAGATCATATCCCCCCTTATGTATTATACATGGAGATCATATCCCCCCTTATGTATTATACATGGAGATCATATCCCCCCTTATGTATTATACATGGAGATCATATCCCCCTTATGTATTATACATGGAGATCATATCCCCCCTTATGTATTACACATGGAGATCATATCCCCCCTTATGTATTATACATGGAGATCATATCCCCCCCTTATGTATTATACATGGTGATCATATCCCCCCTTATGTATTATACATGGAGATCATATCCCCCCCCCTTATGTATTATACATGGTGATCATATCCCCCCTTATGTATTATACATGGAGATCATATCCCCCTTATGTATTATACATGGAGATCATATCCCCCCTTATGTATTATACATGGAGATCATATCCCCCCTTATGTATTATACATGGAGATCATATCCCCCCCTTATGTATTATACATGGAGATCATATCCCCCCTTATGTATTATACATGGTGATCATATCCCCCCTTATGTATTATACATGGAGATCACATCCCCCTTATGTATTATACATGGAGATCATATCCCCCCTTATGTATTATACATGGAGATCATATCCCCCCTTATGTATTATACATGGAGATCATAACCCCCTTATGTATTATACATGGAGATCATATCCCCCCTTATGTATTATACATGGAGATCATATCCCCCCTTATGTATTATACATGGAGATCATAACCCCCTTATGTATTATACATGGAGATCATATCCCCCCTTATGTATTATACATGGAGATCATATCCCCCCTTATGTATTATACATGGAGATCACACCCCCCTTATGTATTATACATGGAGATCATATCCCCCCTTATGTATTATACATGGTGATCATATCCCCCCTTATGTATTATACATGGAGATCATATCCCCCCATATGTATTATACATGGAGATCATATCCCCCCATATGTATTATACATGGAGATCATATCCCCCCTTATGTATTATACATGGAGATCATATATCCCCCCCTTAACGGGCGACCCAGTATTATACATGGAGATCATATCCCCCCTTATGTATTATACATGGAGATCATATCCCCCCTTATGTATTATACATGGAGATCATATCCCCCCTTATGTATTATACATGGAGATCATATCCCCCTTATGTATTATACATGGAGATCATATCCCCCCTTATGTATTATACATGGATGATCATATCCCCCCACTTATATTATTATACATTGGAGATCATATCCCCCCTTATGTATTATACATGGAGATAATATCCCCCCACTTATGTATTATACATGGAATATCATATCCCCCCTTAATGTATTATACATGGAGATCATATCCCCCCTTATGTATTATACATGGAATGATCATATCCCCCCTTATGTATTATACATGGAGAGATCATATCCCCCCCTTATGTATTATACATGGAGATCATATCCCCCCTTATGTATTATACATGGAGATCAATATCCCCCTTATGATTAAAATGGAGATCATATCCCCCCCTATGTATTATACATGGAGATCATATCCCCCTTATGTATTATACATGGAGATCAATTGTATTATACATGGTGATCATATCCCCCCTTATGTGTTATACATGGAGATCATATCCCCCCTTATGTATTATACATGGTGATCATATCCCCCCTTATATATTATACATGGAGATCATATCCCCCTTATGTATTATACACGGAGATCATATCCCCCCTTATGTATTATACATGGAGATCATATCCCCCCTTATGTATTATACATGGAGATCATATACCCCCCTTATGTATTATACATGGAGATCATATCCCCCCTTATGTATTATACATGGAGATCATATCCCCCTTAATCTCCTCTTCTCAGTAAAGAATACATTCAGTTCCTCTAATCTTTCCTCATAGCTGAGCTCCTCCATTCCTCTTATCAGTTTGGTTGCCCTTCTCTGTACTTTCTCCAGTTCCCCAATGTTCTTTTTGTGAATTGGTGCCCAAAACTGAACTGCATATTCCAGATGAGGTGTTACTAATGATTTGTACCGGGGAATATGATATCTCTCTCTGGGAGTCTATACCTCTTTTAATACAAGAGAGGATTTTGGTCACTTTAGAACCTGCAGCTTGGCATTGCATGCCATTATTAAGCTTGTGATCTACCAGAACCCCCAGATCCTTCTCCACCATTGATTCCCCCAGATCCTTCTCCACCATTGATTCCCCCAAATCCTTCTCCATCATTGATTCCCCCAGTTGTACCCCCCCCCCCCCCCCCAGTATGTATGATGCATGCATATTCTTAGCCCCCAAGTACAGAACAAGTGAAAAAACGTTTGTTTGTTTTTCAATTGAGTTGTACAGTTTATAGGTCACATTAAAGGTGGAAAAAGTTCTGAAATGGTTCATCGTTGTCTCATTTTTATACATCACAGAATCCTGACATTTTAACAGCTTTGTAGACTTTTTATAACCACTGTATGTGGCCGCAATAAAATGTAAGAATATGTAAAAAGATATATTCAAAAGTCAGCAATAAAAAGAAGGGGAGGCAAAGTGTAAATCGGTAACTAGAAAGACTTTGTGTAGATACATCATGAAAACACCACACAGTACAATATGTAACAGTAAAAAATAAACAGGAAATAAAACTTAAAAAAAAATGAATACATAGAACAAATAGTCAGGCTTATCAGCACACAGCAATTGCTCCAAGGAATACTTTATGGTAGACAATTCTGCACACTAAAATGCAGTTACTCAGTTATGAAAGTAAGCATTGTAAACTTTAAGGGATAATATATTACTGTGATAAATGTTCAGTGCACAGCGCTATACAGTGATTAACCTTAATACGTCAATGCTAAGGACAAAGAGGTTATATGTGAGGAATACTAACATCTACTTCCTCATTTAACCATTTCAATACCGGGCAATTTTCCCCCTTCCTGCCCAGGCCATTTTTCAGGTTTCAGCGCTCTCACACTTTGAATGACAATTGCGCGGTCATACAACATTGTACCCAAACTAAACTTTTATCATTTTCTTCACACAACTAGAGCTTTCTTTTGGTGGTATTTAATCACTGCTGGGGGTTTTATGTTTTGCTAAATTAACAAAAAAAGACCAAAAATTTGGAAAAAAAAAAAAAAAAGTTTTTCTTTGTTTCTGTTATAAAAGTTTACAAATAAATAATTGTTTCTTCATAAAATTTAGACCGAGATGTATTCTGCTTTACATGTCTTGGTGAGTAATAACCCAAATTAGGATGTATTTTTTAGTTTGTAGGAAAGTTATAGAGTTCACAAACTATGGTATAGATCTGAATATTGATCAGAGAACAGTACACGATATATCCCCCAAATGTCAGGACAGGTACAGAATCCCCCAAATGTTCAGAAAAACAGTAACAGATATCCCCCGAAAAGTCAGAACAGTACAGATATTCCGCCCAAATTTCAGAAACAGTTCAGATAATCCCCCAAATGTCAGGGACATGACAGATATCCCCCAAATGTCAGGACAGTACAGATATTCCCCCAAATGTCAGAAACTAGAGATGAGCGAATTATTCAAAAAATTCGGTTCGGCTGATTCGCCGAATTCGCCGGAATAAATTTTGCCTTCGAGCCGAATATAGTTCGCTGCCGAATTTTAAACTTATAAAAAGGGTGTTTCTAGCCTTCAAGAGCCTTTATATATAGTGCAGAACAACTGTACCCTTTTAATTTTAAATGCCACTTTGGAGTCTGCTGGGGAAGCAGAAAGAATACTGTCAGTCAAGTAAGACATGCAGATATGCCGTCGATCCTTAGAATCCACCGCACACCTTCCTCATTTGGCCGTCACGGGGCCAACCGCCACAGTGTGCGG